GATACTATCAATAAAAAGAAGAGTGAAAACGAAATATCTTTATACAGGTACTCGTGATAATTGTCCTAATTCTAACCGTTATTGATGGCCTCATTGCATTCTCAACCGATTCAACGTTGTTCTACCGTCTTCTGAATGCTGCACCATTCAACGAACATCCTGGCACGAATACAGTAGCACTGAACACAGAAACTATCGTACGGATATATGCAATATTTATACTTTATGTAATCACCCTAATACTTGAGGTAAGTGGATAACAACCGCTCGACAAGTGTTCTGCGTACATAGTAGAATTTAATTTGCATGCGTGATTGCTTATTATTATTATTATTTTTATCATATCATTTTTTAAAATTAATGTTATTATAATATCCGTGCTGAAGTAATGAAAATCTAGTGGTCATTCGGTATTTTTATTATTTTTATCATTTTTTGTGATTCATATCACCGAATGATCAATAAACACTGTTGCAGTGTTGGTTTTTGGTAATCGTTTATCACTGTTATCGATATTTGGATGAACGGCGTGTCTATATGCAATATTGCCTAGCGTTTAGTACGCCGATGAAGACTCTCTCAATGCGGTAATGATGGTGATAAGAGTTTATCAAATGACAGAAGATAACAACATTCAATGGTAAGAGATTAAATTACGATAAAAGGACTGATCATCAAAGATATAATCGAAGAATCAGATTGATATACTATGTGCAGCTCACAAGGGAAGGTCACGAACTGAACCCAGCGTTTTGAGATGAGATATACATCAAATTGTAGAACTCCTCGAGCTGATTACGAATATGTAAAAAAATTTTTGCGAAATACAAAGGGGACGCGAGATGTCAGGATAATTTCATACTCGCAAACATCAACTACCTATGCAGCATTATCGTTCATCAACAACGACAATATTTATTTATTTATTTATTCGAAATTTACAACAAATGAACGAAAGAGATTTACTTAGTACACAAAACGACTATCAAAAACAAGTATGTATATATTTTGCAGTTAAAAATATTTTTTCCATGATCATCAAATTTAGATTGATAAACTTACTTATTCATCTGACTCCTCATCAAGTTTACTACCTCACTTTCTGCAGAGGTAGTTAACAGAGATTTGAATGTCAGTTACTTGGATTGTATGTAGACAACTCTGCTGGTCAGAGCATTAACTGCCAACAACTAATATTTTGATGAAGTGTCACTCATTATTCAAGATGTGTTTCTTGTCATAAAGTATCCTCAATTCTGTCACTAAATGCCACCGATTTTGCCATACCTATAACAAACTGTAATGAACATGTTGTCGATCAAACTGAACCGATTGTCTCCTTGATCGGTGAATGATTAAGTTTTTTTTACACATGTGATATGTTACAGATGTAATTGTGTTTATGTGTAAACAGTCATGTACATAGTAAATGTATTTGCATATAGTGTGAAAAAATTAACTTTTAAAGAAAACTGTTATCTATTTTCATTTACAAGTATTTGATGCCGTTTACACAGCTTCATCTCTCAGATCGACGTTATTCAGTCCAAAGCCAGAGTTTAGCGCAGTGCCTTTTAAAGAAATAATCTGAAGTAATGATAACCACTAGTCGTTTGTCTTCTTATCAGTTTAGGCAAAAGGATTGGGAGGAACAAGAGAGAGAGAGAGAGGGGACTAGCCGTAACCTTAGTTTGGAAATGTACAATTCACTTAACTGCGCCGTGTCACTCAAACTGTTTTCACTTTATCAGTTCGGGACTGTACAATGACGGGAATCCATCACCTACTAGAAAGCACGGGGGATTAAACTGAAGTTTGAAGTTATCGTAAGGTTGCAGTGATGCGGTCATTCGGCCGTTTTGCACAATGAGACCAGTTGTGATGAATACATAAGTGAAAGCATAATGATCAAAATATTTGGCACATCAGTTTCAGTACCATTAGCATCAATCACTTCGACAAAAACAAAAATGTAACACTTCTGATTTCAATAACAAAAATAGTCATAATCACAAGCGCAATCACCATTCCCCTCTGAAACTGGACATCAACAGAACGTATAAGGAAATCAATTTAAAATCACACCGAAACAGTAATGGCAATAACAATATCGACAACAGCAATTACAACAATCATCATCAAAGAAATCAAACCGGTAACATCGTTAGCAACAAATCAGTAGAATCACCGTGGAAACAACTCGAAGATATGGAAAAATATTCTGAAGTAATAACAAGAGCTAAAACAGCAACTAAAATTTGCAGAATAAAACAAAATTCAACAAATCAAGATTCAAAGAATAAAAATCGAATTATTATCGTGCGGTATTAATTCAAAGAAGGAAGAAATTCATTCATTTACAAAATATTAAAGTGAACAGGAATCATACGTAAGACAGACGGATGGACAGATGGATGAACGATCGTGTGAACAAATGAAATGAAAAAATTTTCTCGAAAATTGTCACAGGGTGGAGGAGGGTGAGTCGAACTCAAATTACTGAAATTCAAAAAGTAGACTGGAAAAAAAATCAAAAGAGATTTGGACTCAACCAACTGCCCACCAGCACCACCAACAAACTCAAAAGAATGAGATATTTCCAGATAACAACAACATCAAATAGGATCAACGCCAGCCGCCAAATCAGTCATAATTTATTAGCTCAAATTACTGTTTCTCAACCTCTTTTTAAAAATCACTCCTCACACACAAGCGTGCACTCATCCACCAGCCGACATTGAGGAAGAACAATGCGGGTGGTCATCCACCATACATAACAGGAAAGCACCAATCGAATGAATGGTTCAATACTAAATGTGCCGTAGCTTGAACGCTGGATGTGTCTCAAGCTTCAATCTGAACTGGGGATGAGCCTCATGCTAAAGGTAAATCTCAGATCGGCTTCGTGACTCAGTTTTTAACTGATTCTAGTTGTAAGTGTCACCTCATCACAAAGGTTTCTTTCGAAGTAAGAAGCTTTACAATTGCCACAATATGAAATGCACTACTTTCTCAAAATTCAACAACGTTTGTAAAACGATATATCATCAACAAAAATTTGAATGCGACACGAGGAAAGAAATAAAATGACTCATCAAGCGGCTGCATTATATGAAAATAAAAAATTTAACAGAGACAACAACTGGATAACAGACAGGGAAAAATGCATAGGCATTATGAAGAAATGAAATCAATGAATCAGAAACACACACTAATGATTAGCGTTCACTAATGAACGATGATTAAGCTGTGGAAATGATATTGTGAACGAACGATTGGATATAGTTCGAATGCAAATCTGAATGTTTGAAAAGCTCAAAATTCAAAAAAATTGCGGTGAAGGTAAACAACAGACAAGAAAAATTATAACTTTGAAAAAAAAAACGATTCGGCATTGCATATAAATGAAAAACAAATCAAGAAACAATGAAACAGTCAATTAACCGGTCAATAAATCACAATGCAACCAATAAATGAAAATCTGAAATTTTTTCTTCAACTTCCAAAATTCAATTTTCAAACATAACAAAGTAGTCCGGAAACCTCCAAACATAGTATAAAAGTGATCGAAACAAAAATGATATAAAAAGAAATCAACAGACAAGCAACACCGCCAATCATCGACAGGATGAAATTGCAGTAGATAAATGAATCAAATTTTCCAAGACCGCTACGCGGCACTCGGCTATAAATGTACTTACAAAAATATTATAAGTGAAAAGTTGAAATAACAAGCAAACAAAAAATAAATACTACAGAAAAGAACTCGCAAAAAAAGAATACAAATACTAAAAAAAGGGGAATAAGCGTAAAATGAAAATGAAGATGGAAAGAAAGAGCACTTATCTTATCCAACATTTAAATTATCATATCACATCACGTTGACGATAATTCACTCAACTTCGCAACAGCACCAATAACTGCTCACCTTTATTATCACAATATGTTTTCATTATCAAATCATATCACGTCAACAAAACTAATCATCGATCGTAACATCTCGAAAGAGTTGTCCCATTGATTCGTTATGATAGATGCGGCGAATTGCTTCGCTCAACATCAACGATATATCCACGGTTTTGATTTTATGACAACGCATTTTTTGGATTTCATGCGGTACTGTATTTGTTACTATGACCTAAATTCATTAATCGATTAATTATAAATCAATTTTACTGACTTTTGCTTCTGACTGAAATGTTACTTTTCATTCACTGGAGACACATATGTGCAAAACATTTTCAACTTTGCATTTATTCCTTCTTCCCTTTGTTGACTGGAATTCTACAGAAAAAATGATAGACAGATTCACTGCAAAACTGTTTCATTGAAACAGAGAAAACCTCAGTGATCGGTGATGATTCAAGAAGGCCAGGTGCATCGGCTGATAGTAGACCATGTGTTGCAATCACATAGATTTTGTAGGCACCTCGATTTTTTAAAATCTCTGCTGCAGACACAAACGATTGCGCATCATCGATTATATCGTCCTACAATTCATATCAATACTAGTAATGATATTAACACTAATAATATCAGCTATAATATAACAACAAGAACAAAAACAACATAATTTTAAATAAGAATAATAACAGCAGTAACAATATGATACGATAAACACAAAAAAATTTATGCACTGCAAGTATGTTTTTATTACGAGCATCATTATTTCCTTTTTAAAGCAAATTCATCATAAATAAATGGTAATCGGAAATAATAGAAGATTATATTAAACTGAATGATTGCTAGTTACATACCACTATAATTGCAATACGGCCCCCTACGTCTCCAACAACGGTTAATGGTGGTTTTTCTTTGGGCACTTGTGCTGAAATGGAAATCACATTCGACGAATTCAGCTGCTCTGGGATTTTTTCATTGTTAATCAAATAGACAAGATGAAACGGTTGTTATAGTTTTCTAAGGTGTAGAATGTTGTTATCCGATGGTCTGCTGAGATGAGGAAAGCAAGGAATGATACTCGACAATAACACAGCATTTAAATGAGTGGCTGTTTTAATAAGTGAAAGTGGTACCACCACAATAATAACTGCCTGTACTCGCATCACATGAATATCACTGTAGTTTGCTAACCATACCACTTACCCGGAAATAGTTCAAACGCAGTTAAATTATCATGATGACTGGGCGGTGGACTTTGACGTCCATCTTCTAAGCCACTTTCTTCGACATCTTTCTGTTCGCCATGTATAACCGCAATACCTGTGAAACGAAACAGAACAATTTATTGATGACATGAATCATTGATCAAAGCCATCGTTTGCAACTGATGAATTATTCAATCATAATTACTTGATGATCTCATTCTCTTACTGATTCTTATATTCATCTATCTTTTCGGTTCCTTCTTCAACGAATGGATATATAATACGTACCAACACGAAGTCGATCAGCGTATGATGTAGCTTTGTTCATCACTCCTGGACTTTTTGCTACAATCACCGAATTTTTATAATCGGGAATCTGAAGAAATTATTTACAATCCGAGAATACGAAAATTTTTTCGCGATCAACAATGACTTATATTCAATGAAACACAAATAGTTATGAATCGTCGACTTACATTCTCTTTGATATATTGTAGCAGGAATGGAGATGCACGCAGATTATCAACCGGTATCGAGAAAAAACCTTGAATTTCTTTTTTATACAAATCCAACGAAACCATCCGCATTGCGCCTAAATGGAGTGCGTGAATGAAAGAGATAAATTCCTTCATTTAATTATTTCATTCTAGTCAATCTCAAACTCCGGACATGATAAGGTGTCTGAGAACTTCGAATGATGAACAGTGACAAACCCGATTTACACATCATATCGGCGATTAATTTCATTGGGATTGCGGATCGTCGGAGCATTCGACATTGTTTACTGTACGGTAGATAAGGCATAATGACCGTTATGGTTTTAGCCATTGACGTTTTACATGTATAGACGAGAATCATCAACTCCATTATGTTGTTGTTAACATCTCTTGAAAATGGAAAAAAATGAAAGATTTCTCGATGAGGATTAGAAGGAAAGAACGACAGCAGGCGAGGGAGGATTTTAGTTTTCTTTTCGTTCTTTCGATCGAATGAAGCAGATTTATGTGGGATTCATTCGTTTAGATGATATCAAAAGAGCTCAGCCCAAATAGAAGAGAACCTTCTCCTCTTTTTTTTAAACAAGAAGATGCACAAAGTGATATGTACACATACTTGGAACCTGACTGAATGATGAAGACGTGCTTTCCGCGAACACTTTGTTTGATATCTACAGTTGTTTCGCGATTCGTTTTATTGTACACTATTGCATCACCGAGTTTCACGTTTAAGCGACTGAAAGTTTCAGTAATGAAATCACAATTTCTTCAAAAACTGATAATAATAATAATAATAATAATAATAATAACAATAAGGATACATTTCGCTAAAATTTGATGCGTATAGCACTTCACTTTAGAAACAATGGTCGAATGGTAGCAACAACAGTGTTCGGTTCGATAATATTCTCAACAAACTTACTCAGAGACGAGACGAGCTAATTCCGGATGTGAATTGCCGGCCAATAGCACCATCCCGCTACTTTCATCCGCTTTATATGAACCCATCTATACTATGCTCGTTGTCGTGCTGTTTAACTTTCGCAATCTCTTTTCACCTTAAAGTTTGGAAAAAAAAATTCTTCCCGTTATGTATAGCTTAAACAAAAATTAAGAGCAAAAACTGAAGTGCACAAATCTCCAGTCCTTTCTCGGTTGCATGAGAAATGAACGAATTTAGAGATGTTTTATTTCTTTATTTTCGGTTGGAACGGGAAGTTCATTTTTGACAGTTTTCGTCTCATGTTTCAGCAGCACTTATTTATCTGACTATAAAGCGTTAAATCCTTTCGAATGTAATTCGCGATGGATAGTTCGGTGGATACGTATAATACATATGATTTGTATATCGTGAATAAGTTGAGCACAATAAATGAATACATTTCAAAAAATAACTGAACATATTCATAACCAGAGCGAAGAAAGAAATGGTGTTCGTTACTATAGAAACAAGACTGAATGACTCATTGGATGGCAATCAAGCACCAAAACAAAACAACTAAGCATGCTATCATATCTTTAGCTATAAGCAACGATGAGGGTGTCCACAGTCAATGCCGTCAATCAATCAGCTTTGGTCAAAATAAGTTTATCGTTTAAGTTTATCCTCTCCTATTAAAACACCAAATACATCGATACTTTTAAAGCGGCCGACTTTCATCTCTAGTATTATACTTCGATTCTTCTATCGTTTGTTGAATAAAAAGATGCGAAAGAGCCGTGATCTTGTCAGCAGTGGGCATTCAGAATCACTGCTTCATCAGCCACAAAATCGTCGCTTTCCAAATGCTTCTATATTACCACCCATAAAGAATGCTACCACAGTTCCAGGTACAAAATATAGATCTGTTTTTGCGAATAATATAGATCATAACAATTATCATTATGATGATAATAATAATGATAATCATACTAACAATAATAATACCATTGATAATACTTATAACAAGAATAATAGCATTTGACTTAGGTTTTGGTTATCATTAATATTATTGTTGTTTGTTGAATGTAAAATCATTGTTTGCAATTCGACGATATTCAGTCAAATTGCCACACGTTATTCAGCAGTTCGAATATGCTATGACCAAATGTCGTCGATCGATAGTAACAATAATAATAAAATATATTCTCATGCCAGTCATATAGATGGTCAAAAAGCTCTAGCTCAACAACGACGTAGAAGTCTGAATAAAGATGCGGTCGTCGATGAGGATTTCTCGATGCTTTTAAGTCTTCAAAACGGGTTTGTTGTACTGCTCTTCAGCGCTTCCGAATCTGAGACTTCAATGACGATAATGCTAACCGAACTGCTCATTAGGGTTAAGGATAGTAATAACAAGTTCTTACTTTTAGTACAGCAGCAGCTACTAGTAAAAATAATCAATCGATGATGACTGCTGCAAGCAATAGAAGTAAAAGGCCATTGATCGAACATGAATTCAATGATGAGGACGATGACGAATCAGATGAATATGCCAATGACGACAAACAAGGAAATTTTTGTTGTCATAAGGTTACTTTCTATGAGTCTTTATGTGAGCCGATAAACAGATACAAGTCGTTTGGTTGAAATTATTGATGATATTGACACACAATTGAAACTTTTAGTCATCAGATGAAATCAACAGCATTCACAAATCATTTCCCACTGAGTTAACTATCGCTCATAACTAATCAAAAGTTGGTTATTATTCATTTTCAGAAGTTATCAAATGATGATAAAATGATCATTTGTGGCTCAGAGATGATGGAGGTTGTTGAGGTGATGCGAGTTAAGAAAAATTATGAAAATTTGATTGGTGCTGATGCGGATGATAGAAGGCAACGAGAGCAACTGCATTGGTGGTGCCAGCGGCGTGAATCATCCGAACTGCCATCGAAGATACCGATGGCAGCAGCAGCAGCAGCAGCAGCAGCAGCAGACGTCGTTGACGATGTTGATGGCGTTATGCGACTCGTTTTCGACTCGGATTTCGATTGCTATTTTGATCCATCCACCGGTCAATATTACCGAGTTTTACCAAAAAATAAACAATGAAATACTTCTTGAGTTCTCGTTTGTCCTATCCTCTCAACTCGCACTGCTCACTCACCTCGATAACACCCAACAATGAAATCGAAACGTTCCATGATTGATTTCAGCATAACGAAATTTATTCAGTTCCATATCATTATCATTATTATTGCATTACAATTCCAAGAAGTTAATAGCAGTTTGATTGATATAATGCAGATAACTGTCAGTCAGCTGCTACCGAATGGTGCTAAAAGAAAAGGCAGAATGAAGCATAGAGATATTAAATAGGAAACGGATCACGAATAATAATCATCTAGCGATTAGCTAAGAGCACATTTGACCGAGGCAGTTGCACATAAATTCTGGCAACCTAGGACATCCAAGTAGATTCGTTCCGAACAACTCGTACAGACCTCCCATTGAATCGCGAAGACCTTGAAAGACTGCATCAAGGATTTGAAGAGCATCGTTACACTGTAAACGATCAACAGTCAAGGTATGCTAGCATACGCTAAATCCATAAACAAATATTTTGTAACTTATGCAGCATGTGTTCCTCTATATTCATAAATATATTCAATTAACCTCCTTTCACTTCTACAAGTATAAATCGGGATCATATGCGACATATAGACAATGTTTCATGAGACTGACGTACAAAAATCCCTAAAATTGCACAAGAAAATTTTTCTGCTTACAAAACTCATCATCAAACTGCCACCCAAACCGTTGCAAAACTCGGCTACAGCCATCAAGACCGCACGTTCTGTTTGTACGCCTATCACGGTTTCGTCGAAAAATTTTACCAAATCATACACCAGAAGACACTCCACACATTTACTGGTGGCTGGCCCTATTGCTGCCAAATTAGTCGTTCCCTCTGAAAAAAAAGCACTGTGATATTTGTAAATTCGTTTTTCCATTTTGAGGAATGTAAAACGGAGGAAGGAAGTAGAGCCAAGGCAATAAGACTGCATCATTTAAGTTTTCAAAAAAAAAGCTTCCAAATACAAACCTCTTTGACAATTCTGTTGCATTCCTAAAGTTGTCGTAACGATCCAGTTAAAATGTGGATTATTAAAGTTCTCATAAAATTGATCTTCTGGAAGATTTCTAACTATTTCGCAGTGTTGCCAGCTTAGATGACAGCCAGGCAACGTTGAGCATGTTGTTGACACATTTAGCAGCAAACTTGCAAATTGACAGCTTGCACACGCATGCTTTTCTGCAATATGCTAATAATTGCACCCATACCAGGAGCCGTAGCTGAATATCTTTGACGGCATGAAAAGACGTAAGGGGACATAAAAGTATTGTATTGTCATTCAAGAGAATTTAAAAGGCCATTAGGAAGGTCACCGAAAAGATCATAAGATCTGATGTTTTTTATAATGAAAGAAACACTGGATAAATATGTTAGATAATATCTAATAAGCAAAAGCCAACCATTTTGGAAGAATTTGGTGAGTACGTGTGCTGCTGCCGCAAAAGAATCTTGTGACAGCGATTCCGGTCCTAACTTTAATTTTGAAGCATTGAAATATGGTGATGATATTGCTTCATTTGATGGAATAATCCAGGAAGACAAGCTAGAGGCTTGAACAGTGCTAGAATAAGAAAGAGGATGGAGTGTTACAAAAATCAGTAGAAACAGCAGAGTTCGAGCTTCTACTGCTGACGTTGTTGTTATACTAAAATGATTTTTCAAGTTCTGCATTATTTATAAATTTGTAAACGGATGAATAGGTAGGTAGGTATAGGTGCGATGGACAGTGTGAAGAGATAGTTATAGATGCAACTTGATGTGTGCGTTGTATTGAAAAGTTAGCTTCTTCTATTTTTTCACAAGACAGCTTTTAAGGCGTTCAAGTGATTATTAATGATGTCCCTTTTATCAACTATTACACCGCTCCTTATCAATTCCATTATCATAATATCACTGAGTTGTGGGTGCTTGTATGCATATATATGTTTTCATCATCACATCAATTTGAACAAATCAAACAGATCAAACAACAATCATATCACAAAAGATTGTTTAATCAGAACAACCAGGTGAGGTCAAGAATTAATCATCAACATTATGCCACTTCTGGTAGGGTGACGAGGCTGAGAGTAGAGGGTTGCTAATCGTCCCAAACTCGCATTCTGGACGCACAGGCACAATGCTTTCCTAAAGAGTAGCTGATGATATGGCATCTGGTTTCTTATCAGTACAATTTTCAGTGGGACTAGGGCCAGGTGATAAAATACTTCATTATCACCACTATCACTGTCACGTTATTATTATCAATATCATCGCCAATGTAAGCATCCCAGCCACTTCGTTGTAAGTTATCGAAATGGCATGATCGAGAAATAGTAGTAGTAAATGAATGAAGACAAACATTAGTATTATGTCGTAAACACATATCAGTTGAAACAAACCAATGAAAATTTTCTTGTATACATAGTTATATGCCTTGACTATGGGCACATTCGTCGGTGTGTTAATCCACTAATTAATTCTCAACCTTGCCCAGCAACACCAACCCTGAGAACAAATGCTTGGTCAGAGAGACTGAATAATGAAGATGACGTTTTATTTTAGTTAATATGAGATCAAAACTCGAGCCATTGAACAACTAACAGTGCTGTACTCTCTCAGTGATGTTATCAAAATACAATTCACTTTCTGAGAAGATTCATCATCTTATGATCCACATACTGTCTACATACAATGATCCCTTCTTCTGTAACTGCTTCTCTGTCAGCATTCTTCATCATCTATTCTCGTTGAAATTATTCTTAAGTTATTGATGTTGCTGAGCAAAGAACCAAAACCGACACAAAAAAGGAAGCGAAACAACTATATCAAAACAATTTGTCCATCAACCTATCAATATAGATACTAGATATCTATCAGTTAGTCACTGTGATCATCATTTGCATTTATCATTATCTCATCATGATGGATCACTATCATTGTTTTCACGATGTTGTCGCTTCATTTTCTCCGATCATTATCAGTATATTTATCAGTATCATGATCAGTATCGATAACGTTCCGGCTATTATTATCATTATCTCGTCTTTATCATCAATTCCTGCATGAACAGCCCATTAATTTCGATAATTCATGATTTCGTGAGATAAAAATTCCATTCTGAAGAATTTTTTCTTGTACCTTTTTATGGGTTTCCTGAGAGGTGCCGAATGTTCATTTGTAAATGCGTTGGGTATTGTTGAATGGAAAAGTGTCCACCAAAACTTATGTAATGTAAATATGAGCGCAAGGCTTTGGCCAAGTACTAACTCGAGCTCAGATGTTATCCTAAGGTTGGGTCCAAAAAAGGCTCATTTTATTGAACCGTTTTTCTTCCTGTTTTGTAATAGCCAAAGCCCTGGCATTCCCGCATCAATTATTCTTGTTTTTTGGTGTCCTCCTCAAGTGGTTTTCTATCATTCTATCTCATCATCTTTCTCCCTCTCAACAACAACAACTTTCGCGTAAGATTGATTTGATGATAAGATTTGCTGTTTTTTCGGGTTTCATCGACCCACCCTAATATGACAGATGATGGCTTTCTTGTTTGTTCATTGTTTTGCGCAGACAGACAGAAACACACCGACTAGAATTCTTAAGAGGGCAGTAATTGAGCAATCGAGCAAGTGACCGCTGTTAAATTTCAGCTGCTACTTGGTGATAAGTTCGAGACTGTCCAGTCGCGATCATGTCAACAATACAAGTCCGATTAAACCTCTCCTCTTCCCTGAAACATGACTCCTTCTCCCAAAACACCGACCCTCACCCAGAAATTACCCTCAAATCTTAACATCCCTCCCATAAATTACTATCTTTATTCAGAAATGCTTCTTATGCTGAATGCCATGACTTTCTTCAGTTGTCTCTACTTCATTTACAAGTTCAGGCAATAACATCTCGAGATCTATTGATCATTTATTTAGTGAATGCTGATATTTTCATTAAAATGTGTATGTACAATGATGACATTCATTCATTTTTCTCACATTATATTTCATTTGAATGATGAATCGTAGCGTGTCATATGTTGGTGAAAACCGCACCATGAACAGTACTAATGTGTTTATCAAACACGTTTCACTCATTAAGTCAATCGTTTGCTATCCTCCATCTTCATCGCTATCACTATTATTATCATCATCATATTACTATCACTATTATTATCGCCAGCATTTGTGAATGATTATATTATATGTTATCAATGTTGCTATCGTAAGTAAATATCAACTATGAGAAGAGCAAAGTTAATTTTGATGTGAGAGACACTTAGCTGTATGGAAACCTGTTTGTTGATCATTATCATTATCACTGGTGAGGGTGATCGTTTATGACATCATGACCACATGCCGTGTTAACGTATAATAATAAATATTATAATAGAAATAACAACAGTAATAATATGACATCATGACCACATGCCGTGTTAACGTATAATAGTATAGATAATAACAGTAACAATATAGTAATAATGATAATGATAATCGTAATAATAGTAATGATAATAATGATGACAATTCTAACTAATTGATCATTGCAGTTCTACCATTGCAATTCTACACTCTAGTTGCATATCTATATCTATTACACTATAATTACTCAATTATACATGAAGATTATCATTATTAAGATGCTTCTTATTATTGCTGTCGTTATTGTTACTATAGGTATTATTGTCAATGAAAGTGAAATTAAGGTGAATAATGATTTATCGGCGATTTGGAAGTGCTCTTATAAGGCAGCTTAATAGAGTCACAACAATGGCAAAGTTTGACTGTAGACGTCACTCCAGTACATCCCCAATTAATGATCATATTTTTGGTTTAACTGAAGATCATATTGCGGTAATTCATTATTGTTATTATCGTTAAAATTATTACTATTCCAGTTATTACTATTACTTTAGCTATTCACAAATCCAATTAAAAATACATGGTTTGCTGATTTGTTAGATTTGATGTTAAGACTATCTGTGCACTTTGCAGTTGTCTACAGGGAGACAGGGAATCCATAGGCTTGCGATCAGGCATCCCTAAAAGGTTTAAAAACGCACACTTCTTAGAATTTGAGTACAACAAGTTTTGAATGCAGCTCTGAGCAAAAATAAATCACAAACAAACAAATTCGTGATTGATGAACAAGCAATACCATTAAATCTGCGCAGTTCACTGCCGGCGTGTTTGGATCATGAATCGCTTGATCACCTGCTAGTGTTCAGTTGCATAATTTCAGCTAGAATCTGTCAAGCCTCATCAGCCATTCAAATGTGATGCCTTCCATCTGAATTCTGAATATAAACATGAGCTTGAAAAGTTTGATCCAACTCACGGTCAATTATTTTTACACTGCTAAAACACCGTATTGATCAAAGCAATCAACCGACTGACTCAAAGATGTGCCTGTGATTTCAGAGTTGATTACTATTAACAACCCGCTATGGCTCCGCATTATTGAAATTTCGATTTCGGCTTCAGTTCCACATTTTCAATTTTCGGCACTCTTTGCAACTCCGCACCGTTCAAAATTTTGGCCCAGTATTTCCGAAAGTTCGGCTCCAGCTTTGGAGCGATTCGGAACTGAAAAAAAACTATTGTAACGGTGGTATCTCCGGCTACTGAATGCTGCGGTGATCTTGTTTAACGAAACCAAAAAATTTTCCCTTGGCTCCAGAGCTTAGGCATCACTGTTGTATGATTTCAGGTGGTCAATTACCCTTCTCGCATCCATTATGCACATTCATAGCTGTCAATCGTATTGCTGTTGCTATTCTTTCTATTTCTTCTTTGTTTTGCAGCTACGCCGATCAGTATTCGAATTTGCACAGAAAGAGTTGGCACCGCTGGCCGGTGAAATCGACCGAACGAACAATTTTCCGGATTTGCGCAAATTTTGGCGACATCTTGGCGATCAAGGCTTACTTGGTATAACGGTACCCGCTGAATATGGCGGCGCCGGTCTATCTTATTTGGATCATGTGATTGCTATGGAAGAGATCTCACGTGCAAGTGGCGCTATTGCACTTAGTTACGGTGCACATTCCAACTTATGCGTGAATCAGATTGTTCGTAACGGAAATGAATCGCAAAAACGCAAATATCTTCCCAAGGTTAGGCTTGCCGAAACACTGCTTTCACACTGTCGTTCCTAAGATTAGTTCCTTCTCAGTGTGATGGCAAGAACGTTTAGCTGAGAGTTTAGCAATTCTGAGAAACGCACCTTTAAACTGTTCTGCTGATCGGCTGGCTCCGACTCGTTTCAAGAGATGATCAATTAGTTGCTTGCTTGTTTGATTGATTAATAATTGATTGACTGATTGACTGATCAGTATGAACGATGAAGGGAAGAAGTTATGAACACTGAAGGGAATTGATGGATTTAATGATGAGTTCAGTTGATAAGTGGTGAACATATGGGCGCGTTAGCGATGAGTGAAACGGGCTCTGGTTCGGACGTTGTTTCAATGCGTCTCCGAGCCGATCATAGCGGTGACCACTACGTACTGAATGGTACAAAATTCTGGATTACAAACGGACCGGATGCAGATGTGTTAATCGTATACGCAAAAACGAATCCGTCTAAGAATCAGTACGGTATTACGGCATTTATTGTGGAGAAGGTTCGAAACAATCATTCCTTTCTCGACTCATCATCAACCAGTTCCTTTCTATGTAACACAAGCAATTGCTTGGTGACAGTCATTTACTCAACACGAATGTCAGCGGTTACTAACAAAAATGTGCTCAATTAATTTCAGAGCTTCGAGGGGTTTTCAACATCGCCGAAGTTGAATAAGATGGGTATGCGAGGTTCGAACACATGCGAATTAGTTTTCGACGACTGCATTGTACCAGGCTGGTGTTCATCCCCATTCATTGTTTCTTCTCCTCCATTGTTGTTTCATTTATTCAGCGTTTTACTCATCTCTAAACTCATCATTGACGACTGAGTCCTTTTGCTCCTATTAAGAAAGATGAAGTTTCTCTTGTATATTGACAGCACTTCTGGCAAATACAGTTAAATATGAACATATCTAATAATTACGTATATACTAGTGATGTTTTTACATTGTTGATTCGTTCAACTTCATAAGCAATTCAAAAAAGGAAGTAGGTGAGCCAAGATAATATTTTACCAAGACATAAATAATTTGCCCATTGATAAAGTACTCATACTAATAGCTTAGTGCTATTGCTGCCGCTCAGATTTAATCACTTAGAAAGCATTTATTATTCGTTTGATCATCAACAATGTTCCTTGCTCATCGTTAGCTTCTGGTCCAGCTACATGCCAATGTAATCAATTATTTTTTGTGAAATTATACAAACAGTCAGATAAATAGCTGATGAATTGAATAAGTGCAGAGGACGAATAAATACAGAATAACGAATATTCATTTACCACATAAAATGATTGCAAAATGAATATATCCAATATGATCACTAATATTAATAATTTGGTATCGCAAGTTGAATTGCACTCCTACTAATTTATTCATTAGCGAATGATGATGATGGCTAATTGAAGAAGAAAATGTTCTTGGAGAAATTAATAAGGGCGTCTACGTACTGATGACTGGTCTCGACGTGGAACGTTTGGTTCTAGCCGGTGGCCCACTAGGGTATGTTTATTGCATATGCACATGCTAAGTCAGGTAAGATATCCTGATGGGAAGAGGGAGAAGGATGAAGGACATCCTTAGATGCAGATATAGATCAGTCTAATCGCTAGAAGTGCGCAATTTTTTTGTGGTCGTTTCAGTCCTGTTGCACCACTACAAATCGCTGCTCGATTTTAATTCAGAGGTCATGCCCATCACCCCTCCTCACCGTTTGTCCACTGAATGCATGGTTGATTGGAATGTGTGATTGTTGAGAAGAAGATTAAAAAATTCCGCATTTTTCCTCAATGAAAAATAAAATATTTTGTGCCAGAATTATGAAAAGAGCAATATTTTCACCCAAATAATAGTAAGCTGAAAAGGATGTTTTCGAATTTTTCTAACGATTGTGATAAGTAAACCTTCAAAATTCATTTTGTATCCATTAAATGTTTCAACTCATTAAAATGATTGAATTTTTATTCGTTGTATTATCTACTGTTGGCACAAACATCATCGTGTGTACACGTATAAGCTTCTATTTACCGTGTTATTTGATATGCCTCAAAACGACATTTTTGCTATTGAAAATAATAAAGATCAAGATTAATACTATTAGCATTATTACTCTTATTATTATAATAATTATTGTTGTTGTCATCGATTCTTGTAAATGCTTTGCTTTGCAGGCTAATGCAGGCAGCATGTGATATTGCTTTCGACTACGCACATCAAAGAGAAGCTTTCGGCTCCAAAATCGGCACTTTTCAGGTTCTGCGTTGCACTTCAGTTGATTTCCGTTTGGATTTTTGTCGATTGATTTAATTTTGCAAAATATCACTTGATGAGGAATCCATTTGTTTATAATACGATGATGATGAAGATTGGGGAGTGAATGTGATGAAATAAGAGATTAATGCACTTTTTAAATTACTCCTTTTTTGAAATTCCGTTTGATATCTACCAAAAGTATGTCGCAGATGACTTTATTCATACTAATATTATTATTATCACTATTATTTTTGTTATTGTTGTTATCTTTACTATTATTACCATTAATATTATTGATACCATTACTATTATTGTTCAATCCTTAACAGTTGATCCAAGCTAAAATGGCTGATATGTATACGACGTTAAACGCGTGTCGTTCCTATCTCTATAATGTGGCACGTGCAACAGACGAGGGTCATCTTACGAATAAAGTGAGATTATTACTATTACTATTACTATTAATTTCAATATAAATAAACATAAATTCATCATTCATTCACTTCGTCATTTCTCAGGACTGTGCTGGAGTGATTTTGTATTTAGCGGAACACGCGACGAAAATGTGTTTGGATGCGATTCAGATTCTTGGTTTGTTGGTTGTTATAAATAATGATCGTAATAATAATAATAATAATAATAATAATGGCAATAATAATAAATAATAACAATAATAATAATGACAATAATAATAAATAATAATACTAACAGGTGGAAATGGTTATATAAATGACTATCCAACCAGTCGTCTTCTACGAGACGCAAAACTTTACGAAATTGGTGCGGGCACTTCTGAGGTAAGTGATTGATTCTTACGGTTGAGCTTCAGATATTTTTAACCGTATCACTGCCAAGGTATTATTACTGACAAGGAGGATGTGATAATGACAACAATGACAGTAATAACCTAACCGTAATGATAAAAATGATACTGCTGAATGAGTGTGTATTCAGATTCGACGACTTGTTATCGGTAGAGCTTTGAACAAGCAATATCATGTATAAGAAATGATCACAAAAAGCATCGATCGATCACATAAATATCCAGCCCAGACCGTGCTCGCTTATGCTCACCGGCTGCTTTCGAGTCGACAACGCGTCCGCCGTTTCAACGATTCGCTGTTTCGAAATTTCATAATTTCTTCAGAATATTGTTTTTTTGCCTTGTGAATATTTGATGGATAAATTTAATGCAATTATGCGCCAACATGAACACGCAAAAGTTTACTTGTCAAACAACAAAACAATACATTGGTAATATTAGCCGTTCATCCAAATCATTGATTGCAAATCTAATAAACATATCATCTATGATTCTTCTATTTCATTTTATTGTAATAATTACTTGATGGATTGACTGACTGATTGAATATGAATAAATTTGTGAATTTTTTTTAAAATGAACTATTATAATTACATTATCGTTGTTCTTTCCCATTTTATTATCTGTTTTGTTCCTTTTTGATTTGTTTATATATATATATATATATAAATATATATATATATTTATTTATTTGTATACTTATTCAATCATTCATTCACTCACCTGCTTTTTATTTCACTTCCAAAGGAACAAATTTTACGGCAAAGAAAATCGCACACAAAGCGAAACGACAACAGTGACGATGTCTGTGATTGTAATCAGAATAATGAAAAAAGTTTTGTTAAGGAATGGGGTTGTTTAGTTTTCTTTCGGCAGAAAAAAGTACTGTTGAATTATGGAACAATTATGCTCGGCTAAGATGTGACGCTAGGGATCGTTCGATGAAGAAATGCGGTTGGTTTTCAAACAAGTGGGAAATTCAACGGTGGATCAGCGAGAGGTTTACTACAACGAGCGACAGACTGGATATAACAAGCGAGAAACTTGATTTAGCGAGCGATAGACTGGATTCAAGGAGCGAGAGACTTGGTTTAAGGAACAACAATGGATTACGGACAAGCGATTGATGAGGTCAGAAATTGGGGCTTCTTTGATTTGTTTGAGTGTGTAGTCATCTCGATTTCGATTGTGTGTTGACAGCTAGTGATTGAATATTGTTGGTTGATACTGCTCATGCGTTGTTCTGTTGGTCGTTCAACAACAAGAAATTATCGATATGGCGACTTTGATTGGATGATATGGCAAACCGTAACAAAAAATATTGATAGCATTAAACAAGCAGTGGCTGCGCTTGATTGGACATCGATCGTCCGAAACGTAGAACAGTTTCATCGAGCAGCTGACGTGCTGTTTGATGTGGTGGTTGCGAGTTGCGATTGAATCTCAGCAATGACTGCATTTTCGCATCACCTTGCAATTGCGTTGACATTCGCTTACCGAAACGAATTATTGGAGCACTTTGAAAATTCTACAAAGTACACACACTAGCCATATGTATGTATTCTACAACCTATTATACAAATTGTCCACGTGATTGTTTTCTCGTGTTCTCTATACTTCACCTTGGTGAATGGACGATTAAATTGCTGGATTTTTTATTGCTCTTGAATTTTTTACAAATTCGTAATAATAATAATAATTATTATTATTATTATATGAGTAGCAATAATAAAAGACAAGCATAATGAACATTAGTAAAATAGATGATAATTAACCTCTGTCCTTATGTCCCTGCTCAAATGTTTGTCGCCATTCCGGCCCGGTGTACGTTTACCAAATCTTATTAATGGATCCGTTAGTTTCGCGTCTCTTCGTTCAACCACCGTATATTCTGCAATCATCGTCACAGTTATCGTTATAATTGTCGTTGATATCAGTTAACGCGTGAAGAAATAAAGTATGTAAGGCGTAACTTAACATCCAGTCGGCTTAAAACATTCAGTGATCATGATTCATTTGTACCCTTATTATTGTTGTTATAAATGAATATATTACATAAGTATAATATAATATGATAAAATAGAACAGGTAAGTTATTGTTTCATTCAGCTGACAGTGAATGAATGTGGAATATGATAATATGAGTCCTCAAAAAGAGAGTTTATGCTAGCAGTGGTACGATCCTTACAATAAAACAAAACTCGTTGATTAAAGATAATCAGAAATGAACGCACCGCTGGGGTTGAAAAATGTTCGATAGCCTTGCGCTCGTTTCCCATTTAAAACTGCAAAAAAATCAACATTTTGCAACACTGTTCACCGATACATTGGTTGTTTGATCTTGAAAGTTACAGATGTATCTACCTACCTATGCATCATCTTCATCATGCCTAATAATAACCAAACAGGACGAAAGATTTAGGGGGAAGAGGTTCACTTATTAGAAATTTTTAGAGTGAAGGGGGTGCTATCAGTCTCTGCCATAGCCTTAACTCCTACTATGCATCCATCGCCTTGGGGACATCATAGTCGAGCATGTCTGAAATGATTCACTTATGATTTCGGAGCGAGCGCGAGGCTATCTGTGAATGAATATGCCTCGTTGACCCTCATTTTCAAAACGCAATAAAACAACTGATCAAAATCTCATTGTCAGTGATCGTTTAATTTTCAACACCAGATGAGATAGAAAGAACAATGGTGACGGCTAAAATTTGTTACATGCTAAATGATAAGAAGAGTCAAAAATTTATTCAGAAAGGATCCATTAAAATCTGGCAGTTAACTGATTTACAAAATCCCAAAAGCCGACAACATGCAGTATAATGCAGTATACCATTCATTAATCTACGATTATGCTATATGAGTAGAAAATTCCGCAATAAGGAAGTATTTCGCACTTACACCACTCAGAAATAATTTTTTTTTTCTGGCATTCACATAAATTATTGGTTATATCTAGTTCTGCTACATGCGTGCCATGATGTACTCGCGTCAGCCATTATCGCTTCCTAGGCTGAGGATAACCCAAACTAAGTGGATTTATGCGGCCACTTCCTTCACCAGGTATTTAGCGCAGAAATGTCGCGTAAATGACAAACAAGTGAATAGAGGTGAATGACTAAATGCTTATGTGCTTCACTTACAATCAGATTCTAGCATTCGAATTTCGGACGATTCGAGTGCATTCACTGTTAAAGTAAACATTAGCGCTGCAGTTATTGAACATCCTAACGTCAATATCACCATCGTTATATCCAAACACCGCGATCACTTTCACTACAACGATTGTCGTTTACCTGTAAATTATGCATTCATTCCTTTCCACTTCCGTTGATAATCATTAGAATGATAAGCTTGATAACACTTTTAATAATAATAACGACAATGGTGATGAAGACGAAGTAAGTCGTGGATATCAATGAAAAACAGTAATGGACAATGCTAGTAAAAAGTGTATATACAAGCAGCAATAGCAATGGAAATAACGTGAATAATGGTGAAGATGATAACAATGGTAATAATATTAGTGATATTATTAATAATGGTTATAAAAATCAGGAATAACTAAGTGAGCGTGCGCTGCGATACGATGGTTTTAGTTTTCTAATTCATGATAGGATGACATCAAAACAGAATGTGGAAGTAATTGCGCTGGAGAGGAACACACAAAGAAGAAAGATACTCGAAGCTATCACCATCAGAAATCTAAAACCAGATATGAATATAAAACACGAGATGAAGGAGGTTGAGTTCTTGAAATCATATCAAAAAAAAGTATTCTGAAATCCTATCAAAACATCAAAAATATTGTTTCTATTAAATATTACTTTATTTCTTCGCTATTTTGCGTTTATTATATTCAATACCATCATTTCATTTTATCTCAAATACCATAACTCACAATAATAATTATTCTGCTCATATCTTATTTATTATTCTACCTATTTTTCTGCTCATATCTTAATCAAAACAACACTAATCCTCGACCTTCCTGTTCCCGTTACTCACTCAACTCCTCAAAAATCCTGTCCGTTCCAGTTTTTCAATATCCTTGCTCTAACAAGATACTACGGTATTTTCGTAATTTCTTCGTATTATTCAGGTCAGTATTACGATTTACTTCATAATCATTTCACTTATTTTACTTTATTTTATTGTTGTCTTTGATGAGATGATCACAACGGTTTAAAAAAATGAAACAAGAGGGATGCATTTGGACTTGATTTTTTTGGCGTGCGGTGAGTGTTGGAATGTCAGTAAACGAGAAGTGACTTGAATGGTGGCTAGGATTTATATTTATATGGGCTGCTCGGTGATTTACAAATGGATCTGTGGATGGATAACCAGGTAGGTAGCTGGATAGAAATGTATTTAATTGGCTAAACAAACTGGTTAAGTACGAAAAAGAAGAGGAGGAGACCGCGCAAAGCTAAGCCCAACCCAATTAAGCTTAGCTCTAATCAAAATCATTGGCAAAAACGATTCAGGCTGGATGATTAATGCCGAAGAGGAATGAATGATCGGATCGTGCTTTTTGTTAAATCAATCGCGGGGGCATTACCATTGTCATCATCATTATGATGATCGCGCAACGTGGTAAGGCATTACTATGAAAACACAAATATTACACACAGACCAGCCCAAAAAACATCGGTAGCTGATGGCGCGCTAAGAGTGTATTTTAAGAGGGATGTAGTTGAAGTGAATGACGACGATATGAACAGATAAATGGAGGGCTGGATGAATGCTGGGATGGATAGATGGCTGGATGGATGAATGGATGGATAATTATGCAATATCCGTAATTGAGATTTATGTCGACGAGGGGGCGATCTCTACAATTATTCGGATTGTTTTTATTGTCATTTTCATTATTTGATGAGTTTATTTGAAATATTTTAGATTTTAAGTGAATATATTTTTGTTCGTTTGTTCATTCATTGATAATCCATCACACTTATTAAACAACATTGTGTACGTTGTGTACGTTGTGCACGCACATCAATTATACGTTTTCTATTGTGTACTTCGTCGATCGATGAGGCCATCATACTGCGTTACCGTATCATTTTACCGTATCACCATAATGCGCTACCGTTACCGCATCCTTTCACGCATCACTGTTGCAGGTGCACATGGTGCTTCTTTCATTCATGGCGATATCTTTGGCAATGAGCATTTACTGTAGCAACTCAGCACAAACCCCAAGGCATTCATGACTCATGCTCAAACTTGAGTGTATTGTTTGTCTTAGAACGATCCTCATTGAACAGTTGTAGTAGTGCAGTATTGATGAGAACAAAGGTCAAATGCATAGAGTTTGATAGGATCGTTCAGCTGTATGACATAACTTCAGAAAGCAAGTAATTTGCGTAGAATCAAGCGTTATCCGTCTGAAGCATGCACAATTTCCAGATAATGGTGAATCACCTCAATCCGATTTTATCATCACCGTATTGAGTAAATCTGAGGATGCAGGTCGCTTGGATATGGTACTTACGATATTCACACATATTGGAAAGATATCTTTAGAAAAACAGCTGTACCTCTAGAACTAGGCATTCTCGTTCTAAGACGCACACAACATTCTTTTAGTTCATTCAGGTGGAGCTGGAACTGCGCTACAAGTCCACTTATAATTTGTCCGTACCTCAATCTTAATAACACATCTTTATCTCAATTGGCAGAGTGACCCACTATGTGCGCTTGGCAGGGTGTCGGTTTGTCATTTTAATGAGTTGATCGAAAGGGTGACCGACAAATACGTCTGCGACAAGTCTAAACTCCGACGATAATGATGAGGCGCGCGCATCCTCCTCAATGATGGGGTACGCGTAAATTGTCGGAGTTGCACCTTGTCGTGGACGAACTTGTCGTAGAACCGACCGAAATTTCTATTCATGGAATGTACATAGATAGCTTGCTAAATGCCGGATGATTGAATTTTGAATTTTGTTGTGCTATTTGAACAAATCATTCAATCGGCAGTAATATAATGTATGCAATAATTGTTTGTGTATATGAAATATATGAAATTAGTTGTTGTTTGGTAGTATCCTTGCTGTAACGCTGATGGTTTGTCTAGCATTTTTGTTATTGCTTAGAAACTGGCCAAAACTGTCAATGATATTACTGTCAATTTATCAGAAAATGAAGTAAGACGAACGATGAACGAAAATTGTGCATATGTTGCTGATGGAGATCAGTTGAATGATCGTGTCGAGAATGGCGACGATCAACGATGCTCATTGACAATCGATATTGAGATGGATTCGGACGATCCTCAAAATATCGCTCAGTATGCACTTACCCAACTGTCCTCTCAAAAGGTGGATGATCATTCGCGTTATGATCGTGAACATCATTTATTTGTGGTTTCCTTGGAAACTTTTTTGCATTTACACTGAACAGTTTATTGCAATAATATTTATGAATCTAGCGTTCGTCTCAAAAATAATAGTACCTATTAGCATTCGTCTCATTTCATTCGGGAAGTCATTGATCGGATAAATCAGAGAAGTATTTTTTCATCATAAGATTTAATCAACCAATCATTTATTCCACGTCTGCACGCAATTTTGTTGAAGCTGATAGCATCTGTCGCGAAAATTGCAGCTAGCATGAGATCTATAATGCGTATTACTCAGGACGAAAGAAGGAAGTAACTACTAGGAAGGTAATGAAGTTGTGGGTTGTTTGGAACGCCGATATCTGCTGTCAGAAATAAGTCACGAATTTTTATTCATAAAGCTAGTTGTACGAGAATGATGGTTGATGGTTTTTGCAGGAGAATGAAGAAAGATGTTGTTCTTCGAGTTGTATGAAGTGTTGCTCGTTCGAAACATTTCATGATGCTCCTCCGACAGCATGCGAAGCACGGCCATACGTCGGCGATAACGCCCTTCTAGTCGGTCATCTGCCGCAAGTGGCACATCGACAAATTGAATTATATCTGAATCCACCATCCTATGGCTCAATGCATAACTGGCAATATTTAGCATCCAATTTTGGCGTGTCGAATAACGAAATCATGGCACGAATACCGTATCTTTTCGTTTCCTTTCATTCATTTCGCTTGATTGAAACAAGCAAGTGAAACTCAAGCAAATCATATTCAACACTAGATTAATAGATGGATAAAAGTTATATTGCTGCTTTGGAGCAGCAATTAAATGTAGTGAAAGTTTATTGAAATTTGCTTGCATTCAACATTCATCCGGTGTAGTTTGAGTTAGGTCTATCTGTTTGCAGTGTCTACGAAGTGCAAAAAATCCAACTCGAGTGATCTTGGAACGATTCGCACGATGTTCATTGAATCATTTTTTGGATTTGATCTGTGAACTGAATCGAATTGATGTACTCATCACATTACAACCTTACGTGAACGGTCTTAAAGCTAGTGCTGATGCTTTGCAAGCATCTGGTCTTCTTAACAACTCTCTCTCAGATTCAGGTGAGTTGCAATCGTTCTTTGCATTGCTCTTCGAACAGAAACGCTAATTTTCCGATTTTCACAAGTTATGATATGATAAAATTGAGCAATCCATGTGCGCTTGTTTAAGAAACGACAAATTTTTGCGCATCCCAGACGGTGCTCTCCATATTTTATTTCTTAGCAACTGTCCTCCGTTATTAGCTTATGCCAATTATAGGTGCTTTTTTCGACGAATTCGCAGGTCAGTCGTCGTCTATGCGACCTCCTCTTGCGGCACGGTCGAAGTCAAGATCAAGTGGCCAAGTGCCCAGAACTTGTTATGCGCAACCTGAGCTGTTGCTACCGTTACAGTCGTCGGCTGCAAGTAGTGGCTCTTCTTTTCAGAAGCACTATCGTTATGATGTTGCTCACTGGAATTTAAGTGAAAAAAGTAAGCGATAAATTAGTTACTTCACTCTACTTTCAAGTTGCTTTTAAATTTTTGCTATTTTTCGTTCGATCAAACTTGAGTTGTGGGTTTGATCGCATATCTCGGTTTTCATGGGAAATCATTTAGTCGCTGAATTTATATAAGAGTTTTATTGATTTGCAGTTATTTTAATCACGCATCATGAAGATGAAACGAGCGACTTGCTGAAGAAAAACTTCAAATGGTTGATGAAAAATTTGAGGTGAGGTACAATTTTTTGACGTTCAGTATGGTTCTTCACTGGTTAGCGAGTACTCATTGACTTCAAGTTACGCAGTTAGGGTTAAAGTTAATTTTTTTTGTCTCCAAGGTGCTGTAATTTTACCGAAATATACGATTTCGCAGTAATGTGTTATTTTGTCTATAAATGAAAATAGATTTTTTTTCTGCTTATATAGAATGTTTTTTTCAGAAAATATGGCAAAGAAACGAATTGCAACGTTTTAAATATTGAAGAGTGCTTATGCGAAGGTGATATATTGGGTGGCTTACATGCACTTTTTGAAAATGTTCGTTAAATTTTGTTAATGGAGCAGTGTTTTCATTTGATTTTTGAATGTTTCTGCGATGAAGTGAATTTTTATTTGAGAAGAATTTTGTTTGAAGGCAATGCATATAGTGTGTGTATTTTCGGATGATTATACGAAGATGTTGACATGTTCGGATGAAGGTGGTGATCAACTTTGTATATTAAAACGTTATTTGCATTCGTTAATGGACAGCGAATATATGCAACATTCGGGTGTTAATCAACGTTTTCGAGCTGTGATTCTTGAGGTGATGAATGCAGCTGATTTTATCTACATCATTTGGAATGCATTTCAATTGATTTACATTATAATAATATTAAGTTGTGTGTATAATGGTTTATTGAATGCTTAGATGTTTAGTTTTTGATAAATTTAATTGGAATGATGTAGTCTATTTAAGGGTACTGAACGTGATGTGCTTCCAACTGGGTGGCCACAAAATACGCTTGTCTACGTTTTTCCTACTCATCATGTTGAACTCTTCAAGAAACTATTCGATTGAATGGTTATTAAATTCTAATGGAAAAATTGATTGATAATATCGATTTGATTTGTTAATTCTGTACATCCGAATTTATCATCGTTTGTACGATAGAAATGGTGCTTCAAAAAGTTATCTCATTATGCAAATCAAATAAAAGATATATATTGCCATTGTCAAATATTAGCATTATTATATTCAACATTTCTAATATCATTAGCGTTATTATTCTTATCATCGTCGTCATGTCCAAGAAGTGTCCGGGTTCCGACGCGCGCATTTACGTTTCACTTAAAAAATTGCAACTCTCTGTAGGTGCAGGTAACCAATACTGAAAATCAAATTGCATTCCCCAGACAAGGATCTAGCATTCCTAGTTTGGCGCACGAATGTCGTGAAATCTAATGGAAGCCCGTCGAGTAAATCAAGGATTCAACGAAAAATCCATTTAGGGAAACACCACGATGCATGCTGGCGTCGGATCTGCGAATCTCCCGGTGGGAAAAGATTTGCTCGCTAACCGGTCGAGACTACGGGCTTTTGAAATCTCATCATATAAGTGCTTCCAAATCTTTCTGTATTACAAATTTGTCCAAATTGCAGACAATGATCACAGTTATATCACACCCAAACTCAGCATTCTCATCCAAACAATCATTGGATTTATTGAGATAGATAAAATCTTGAGTTGCGAATGTCAGAATAGTTGAGCCATTCTACAGTGCCGCCGAACTCTACACGTTTGATCACTTTAGCATGATCAGTGACAC